TCCATGGTAGCTTTGGCCCGTCTAACTGCCTCCCTACAAGCGCGAGCAGAGGAGGTATATTTGTCTTTGGTGATCTCTCCCTGTTTCCACTTTTTGTGTGCTCCCCTTTTGGCCCTTAGGCTGCCCTGGATTTCTGCTAAGGCAGTAAGTGGGAAGGAGGGAAAAGGGGGAGGCTGAGAGAATCAGCCCTGCCCATGATGAGCAACAGCAGCCAGTGCTGGGCACTGGGCAAAAGCAGGAGCTGGCAGTGGGCACACTTACTGCTTCCAAGGCCCTTCTGGCTGTGGCTGCCCAAAGCCCAAGCCTGGGCTGCCCTGTGGCTCCTTCTGGCTGTTGCCCTGCCCTGGGCCTGCGAGGTGGTGGCACAGGAGAGGAGCCACAGGGCAGCCCCAGGGTAGGCTCTGGGCAGCCACAGCCAGAAGTGCCCTGGAAGCAGCGAGTGTACCCACTGCCAGTTCCTGCTTTTCCCCATCACCCAGCACCGGCCGCTACCACTCATCATGGGTACCTCATTTCTCAGTCTCTGTCTGCCCCTTCCCTGCCCTTTCTTCCCCCAACCATCCTGCACCTACAGCACAGCCCCACAGCTTGCATCAGCTCCCAACCCACGCATGTGCATGGCAAGCAGTGCTGGGTGGGCGCCAGCATCAGCTGCAGACGCAGGTGGCAGCTTCCCCCTGGAGATCGGGGCATCTGCCTGAGCCTCTCCTTGGGGTAGAAGGGCAGGCTGGAGGCTGAAGCTGCTGCCCGCGCCCACACCAGCTCCCCCTACCTCCACCCCTGCAGCCCCATCCCACATAGTGAGGTTTGGTGAGCTACTGAGTGTGTGGGGGGGGGGGGGGGGGGGGGCGGAGCCCCGGGTAGAGGGGGGAGACTGACCCAGCCCACAACAGCTCCCCAAAACTCCCTATGTGGCCCTTGGGCCCAAATAATTGCCCACCCCTGGTTTAGACTGAGCAGGGGTTGTTTGGAAGGGATGACCTCCCAAGGGCCCTGCCAGTCCTATTCTCCAATGATTGAAATACACACAGTAATTGAATACTTTCAGTCAGTCCAATGAGTTAACTACCGTATGTTGCAGCACCGCGTTTACTAAACATCTACTGCTATGGCAGGAACCTAGGCTCGCTTGTGGGATATAACACCAAGGACACTCTGCTTGGACTCAAATCCAGTGTCTCAATAAAGATGACCTTTCTCTTTCATATATGCTGTGTTGCAGAGGCGAATAGGAGCTACAGAGGTTAGAGTCAGGTTAGAAAGAGGAGCCTGATCCAAGTGACTTGGAGTCTGGCAGCTCTGCAGGAGCTCCAGCTTGCACAGAGGCCTGCGGGGACAGCGGCTATAGCAAGCCAGCGATAGTTTCACTTCCTGCTCTGAAGCTCCGGGGAACACAAAGAAGCAGGATGCAAAGCTTCTAGTTAGCCCCGGAGGGCTCTCGCAGGAGGACCCCTTGTTCACACACCACCAGGACTTACCTAAACCAAGAGGCAGCAGCACACAGGGGACTAAAGGAGCAATGGTTTGCTGCTGTCAGAGAGTCAAATTCATCCTCCTCTTACGTCACTACAAAGGGCCCATAAACAAGGCAATGCACCCAGTGCTATAAATGCCACTCGTCTCACCAGGTGCAGCATGAAGCACGTGCCCTGTGCTGGCCCCCCTGCGCAGCACGTGTGGCCGATCCAGCCTGCAGCTTGCTGGGCATGTGGCCCCCTGGACACAGGGCGCATGCTGCCCACAATGGCATAGGGGGCCTGATCCACAGTGGACACTATCCCAGACTGGACCCCTGTGCTGCCTGCAGTGCACGCAGCATGGGGTCTGGCCTGTATGCCACATGCAGAAGGGGGCTGGGGTTGGGGCATGATATCAATCTAAATCATACAGTGCCATGGGTCATACGCCTGACACCACTGCCCCAGCCCACAGCAGCTGGGAACCAACCTGGTTCACGCCAGGGAAGAGCCGGTCCCCATCAGGACAGAATCAGGGATACCCAAGTCCCCTCTCTGCAGCCCTGTGGGGCCGAGGCAGGAACTGAATCGTAAAATCCTAGAGAAGTGATGCTGGAAGGGACCTCCGGAGGCCACATCTAATCCAACCCACTGCCCGAGGCAGGATCAGCCCTGTGCAAACCATCCTGTACAAGCCATAAGTGAAACTCTCCATCAGACTGCCATCAAACCTGAAAGAACACAAGGCATAACACCTGAACCTGCCACCAGCGAAGCGGGTACCAGGCACCCAACGTCCTGCTGCTGTGACATGCCGTCAGTACACGCTCAAGCGATGCCACGTAGAGGACCGTGCCCCTGCTACAGAGGAAGGCAAAACCCCTCAGTCCGTACCAACCTGACCAGGAGGTAAAAGCCTTTTCTGCAAGCTGAACGTGCCCAGCTCCTGCCAACCCTCCTCACCCCACCCGCTACCGGGGACACCCCAGGCCTCTTTCAAGCCTGGAGCCCAGAGCCCAGGGAGCCTCGTGCTGGGCCTGTCTTCCCCAGCCAGGCACCCACCCCACCCCACCACACCCCACCCGCAGGGAGAGCTGCAGCGCGCAGCGGGCGCCGGGTGTGTCTCTGTGTATGCGTCTCTATGCATGTGTGTGTCTGTGTGTGCATGTGTGTGCATATCTGTGTGTATGTGCATGTCTCTGAGTGTGTCTCTGTGTGCATGTGTCTCTGTGTGCATGTGTCTGTGGCGTGCGTATGCATATCTATGTCTGTGCATGTGTCTGTGTGCATGCGTGTGCGTATCTATGTCTGTGCATGTGTCTGTGTGCATGTGTCTGTGCATGACTATGTGTGTCCCTGTGTACGTGTCTCTATGCATGTACGTCTCTATGTGCGTGTATCTATGTGTCTCTATGCCCGTGTTTGTGTTCCTGTGTGTCTGAGTGCATGTGTGTTTGCGTGTCTATGTGTGTGTCTCTGTGCACACACGTGTGTCGCTGTGTGCATGTGTTTGTATCTCTGTGTGCATGTGTCTCTATGCATGCAGGTGTCTATGCATGTGTGTGTGCCTGTGTCTCTATGTGTGCACGTGTTTGTGTGTCTCTGTGTAAGTCTATGCATGTGTGTGCATCTGTCTGCGTGTGTCTATGCATGCGTGCTTGTGTGGCTACGTGTATCTATGCACGTCTCTGAGTGCGTCTCTGTGTGCACATCTATGTGTATGTGCATGTCTCTGAGTGTGTCTCTGTGTGCATGTGTGTCTGTGTGCATGCGTGTGCGTATCTATATGTCTGTGCATGTGTCTCTGTGCATGTGTGTATCTGTCTGCGCATGTCTGTGTGCACGTCTCTGTGTGCATGCTTGTGCTTATCTATGTCTGTGCATGTCTGTGTGCATGTCTATGTGTGTCTCTCTATGCATGTATGTGTCTCTATGTGTATCTATGTGCGTCTCTATGCACGTGTTTGTGTTCCTATGTGTCTCTATGAGTACGTTTGCATGTCTCTATGTGTGCATCTCTGTGTGCGTGTGTTTGTGTCTCTGTGTGTGTGTGTCTCTGTGTGCGTGTGTTTGTGTCTCTGTGTGCGTGTGTCTCTATGCATGCGGGTGTCTATGCATGTGTGTGTGTCTGTGTGCATGTGTTTGTGCGTCTCTGTGTGCAAGTCTATGCGTGTGTGTGCATCTATCTATGCGTGTGTGTTTGCGTGGCTACGTGTATCTATCTATGCATCCGTGTGTGTGTGTGTGTGTGTGTGCGCCCGTCTCTGTGCGTGTCTGTGCGTGCGCGCGCATGACCGTGCGCACGCTCGGTGGCCGGCCGGACTCCCCCCAGGCGCGGGCGCTCCGGTCCGCTGCTCCCCTCCCCCCCGCGCCGGGCGCACACGCACACGCACACGCACGCACACACGCGTGCCCCCCTCTCACCTGGCGGCGGCGGCGGCGCACGGACCCGGCAGCAGCAGCGCAGCCCCCGCG